AATTTGCTTTTAAGTTAAATAATGTATTTTTTCCTGTCTCTAAATATAAGTAGACTACTGTCTACTGTACAGTACATTGCAATGGTATTATTTCTTTACTGATTGATTTTACAGTTTGTTTACAACCAAAAATAACGAATTGAAATTCCGCTTACAGTATAAGTACTCGCGTGCGGGATTTTTAAAAGGGTTGGAGTTTAAAGAAACGTCGTTTACGTAGATTAACACACGGTAGAAAGGTAAGAAGGAATATAGTAATATATACAAAAAAAAAAGGAAAGTAATATGCAATATACGTTTTAATTTAATTCGATAATTATTTCCAAATGAGAGGGGTTAAACCCCAAACGAATAGGAATAAATCGGAATAAAAGACAAGAGATTTACGTCGTTGCAAGTGACAAAAGCACATTTTCTATAGATTAAACTATACAAAGCTATATAAAAGAATGACGAGGAAAAGAATCGATCGGTGTGTTACGTGAATCGTGGCAAGATACTATTGATCACAATTCGATTTAAAAAAAAAATTGAAAAATTATTCTTAAAGCAAGTACACAGGATGTTTTTAATCATTTCTTTAAAAGGAACTGCATCCGTCCAAAATCCGATCCTATCTATCGCTTTATTTTGAATCTAGTGCACGACGAATTCGTGTTTTTACCTCGTTTCTGCGTATACAAAATACGTAGAAACGACCCGCACTTTCATTATAATTTAAAAATAGGGATTACATAGAGAAATTCTTCCTGAATTATTTACTATTTTATTCTTTTGTGAAGAAAAGAAAAACTTTTATAATAAATTTAAAAATACGAAAATTTCGAATTATTTATAATTGAATATCTCGTATTTTTCTTGTTTTAGATGTCTCCTTTTTATGTTTCAAACACAACAATCGATATAGAAAATATTTTTAAATATTCGCTAATTCGGACAGTTTATTTCCTATAAAAACTTTATAAAAATACTAATATTTAGCCTATGTTTATATAGATTTAGGACTTATCTATTTATAAATACAAGGTAAGTTTTACTTTTAGTTTATCTGGAAAACGCTTTTATAGCCTAAAATTTGATGAATGTAAAAAAATACAACAAAACTTGGCCCAAAAACAAAAATTCTAATTTTCTAAATGACGCCAGTGCACTAAATTTTGGGGTATTAAAAAAGAAAATTGTTTATTTTATAATACATAATTTCGTATTGTATTCGCGTGGTTTATTTTAAAAACCCAAATAAAATAATAAGTAAATCTGTATATATATATATGTGTGTATTCATTTACATACATCTACTATGCAAGAACGTAGGAAACGGACTGGAATTTAAAGGAATTTCTGGATCGATAAGTAGTTTGTATGCCTTCTATTGGCATCGGACGTTATTTTATAAGATATTTGATTGACGTCTTCCAGTTAACTAAGAAAAGAAATTCTTTAAAGCTGGTTATCTTCACTGTACTTTCTCATTTTCCAAAAATATTCTTTGATCTTTAATAAGCTTATTATATTGACTTAGGTTATTCATTACCAGATCTTTTCTTCGTGTAATGACATTATATTTATGTACGTATATCAGGACTTCGGCAAGATAATATTCGACAAAGAGTATTAAAATTTTTATAAGCTTAGACGTAATCTTATATAATTATTAGTCCTGTGTTATAAATTATAATCTATTTTAACACGTGACGTTTAATAATATTTATTTTTATGTATATTTAAATTGTTTAATTTTTGAATCTCTAGAAGTATGACAATAGGGGTGTAAATTAATTAAGACGAAAGTTTTGAAATGAAATAATAGACATTGAATAGAGAAAACGAATTGAAGCATCAAAATTTCCAGGTGTACCCGCACACCAATAATTTATCAATCCGGGTACTTAATTAATGATTTATTTATCGCATTTTTATCGAGTTTTAAATTATAAATATGTTTAGTGGGTCGTATTAATAAGAGAACAATAAACAGGTTTAATACAGGAAAATTTCGTATTAAACGTTTTAAAGTGGAATCGTTCCGCTCTTCTCTCTTAGGGTAATGACGGCAATTCAAAGAAAAGGTTACCAACAATTGTTAATAATTGTTATTATATTGTGTAACATCTGTCGTTAAACTTTTCTAGGGAAGAAATTAGGATTCTGCAGCATCCATAATTCTCTGGATATTATTTTTCCAAGTGTGGCAATTGATCCTAGCATCATTCTAGCTTCGGTAATTCGGTAATTCGCATCCGTAACGTTCGTCTTTATGGTTGGAAAGTTTATACGAAATTCCATTATTTTAATTATTTTTAAACCCGATAAATTTGTTCTTTTTATTAATAAACGATTCAATTTAATATTCGTATTTTTATATCTTTAATGTTTATAAACAAAAAATACTGCAATTTTTCATTTTTTAAGATAAGAAAATAATGAATGAAAACGAATTGCATTTATTAATATAGACTAACTGAAAGAGTAACTTTTAGTATTGTGAATATTAATTAATTAAATAAAAAAAGTCTTGTATAAATGTCAGAATAATTGCTTTTATGTGATAATAACGTGTTTAAATTCTGGCAACAGATTATATAAACTACGTGGGAAGTAAGTTGACGTAATTATTGCGCTTATAGAAAAATTATTGTGCTGCAATTTGAAAAAATTGTAGCCATAAATTACGATTGTCTTCCAACTGTGTGTCTGTCTGTTGTCTGTCTTTTCTTAATCTCGAGAAAGGAGTTAGGTAGATGAAAGTCAAGACCAAATATGGAAAAATTAGGACCAAGAAGCCAGATTAATTATATACGAGCTTCCGATACAAACCAGAAGTCAACTTTAGTTTAATTCAAAATTTCCTCTAAACGGAATTAGATAAATAACCAGAACGAATCTATTCCTAATAGGAACAGTATGACGTACAGTACAGGTTCAAGAAACCACTAAAAGAATTGAGAATAATCTGACGAATAATTGCAGCCCAACATTGTGACGATGTCACAATAAATAATCGCTCGTTAGAATTAGTTTGGTTTACTTGGTTACAGCGACACGTAAACGAAATGCCGAGGGGATGCACCCAGAAAAGACTTTTATGGAAAGCTGGACTCTATTTAGGTGTTACTAACGCAAAGAAAACCTTGAAAACTTTCACGTGTCCATGCCCGAACTCGCGACTAAGTAACTACCAGACTTCGGTGGTTTTATCCACTCGGCTACCGGAGGGAGCTTATTAAAATTATAATTGATTTTTAGAAATGCGATATATATTTTGGAGTATGATTACAATATTATCTACGTTAGGTGTATATAAGCGTAACTGTTGAGTTTCGTAGCAATTTGTCGAACGGCCTAGGAATGTATAGCGAACAAACAAACAAACGTCCTCATTTTTATATGTGTGTAAATAAATGAGATTAATTTGTCGATAGTTTTCTAGTTAGAGAAATATTTAGAACACGTTAGAGAATATTTGAAGAGAATAATTTAAAAGCATGGATGTTATTCGTATAAATAGACACTAGACTATTATAAATAAATCACTTTATGAAACTTTTAATTAAAACTATTTTGTTTACTTAAATTCAATTTAAACAGAAACCGAAAACATTTTATACTGTTAAAAAGAAAAATTAAAAATCAATATTAATAAATTTTATATATAGGCCTATATTTTTACTTTAAAAGAAGTAATAATGAATGTAAGTAAATTGTACAGTACATAATTTATAAAAACCTTTTATATATTTTCATTAATGTTACTCTAGAAATAATAAGAAATGATTGTTGTTATTTATTTCCATTAAGTAAAAAAAAAAGGGTCCGCATATTCGAGTAATTTCGAAAATCACCCGAAATTTTCTATTGTAAGAAAGGAGAAAATCGAGGATGGTAGTAGCCTGGAAAAACGAAGCTTATTACACGGTTTATTACCTTTTCGGAAAACGTCGGGCAAAAATAGAATTATAGAATATTACTCGATACGAAATTTAATTTTGTAAATTGTTGGAAGTTAAAACAGATTTAGGACGAAGTAATTTCCGAGGTGTTGTGGCTAACGATGTCGTCGATGGAGACGAAGGAAATGATCGTTATTTAGTGGCGGATAACAAAGAAAGAGTCAAGTAATATCTCCACCGGACCCGATCGCTTTCGTCCTTTGCCAACACCCCTTTCTTCTTTCACTCTTATTCTCTTTTTCTTAACAATGTCACGGTTAAGTCGAAGTTTCTATTATTAATTAAAACAGAATGGAACAAATTTATTAATATTAACGTAATTGTTTCAAAAAGAGATTCGTCTAATAGCCATATAATCTGTTTCTTCCGTAATCGTGCCCATACCTGTCCTTTGTTTTCTGTCTCTGGCTAATCGGAAAAGGAAAAACATTTTGTTTATAAAAGGTTCTTATTGTTAAATCGGTAAATATTACGAATTTAATTCTACGCGATACAGATTTAAAAGTGATAAGTAAAGCCACTCGGTTTTAGTAGTCTAATGGACATATGAAAATAAATTGTCATATGTCATATATCAGAACCGTAGACAATATTATTTATATATATTGTCACATCCTTTACAAGATATTGAATCGATTCTAATACGATGTTATTCTCTAACAGTATCATTCCCGAAATAAATTATGATTTGTGTTGTAGATCCGAACAACCGGCGCATTCATTTCGTACAAAGACTGATTCAAAGAGAAGAAATTCCCATTCCCGTGCGAACTGTTCTCTTTTGTTTGTCCGCAGAAGTCGATTTCTTTCTTGATTATATACAAATAACGCTGAAAACTCAGAATTAAGAATGAATGTGCACACACATTGAAGCTTAATTTCTTTAGAAATAATTAATTAGTGAAAAATTAACTTGTTTACAAAAGGGATGAGTCGAGTAAATAACTAGATAAGCGGTATTTATAGCTTAAAAAAATAAACAAAATCTTTTTAAGATGTAATTAAATTTCATAATTTGTGACAAGTAATAAATTTTTATGATAGTTCTTTTTATATTTTCTCTGTTAGAAATATTATATTTCAATAAACATAAATATTGTTGCCAACAATGGTAATTTATGTTTAACAAATTAGAGTTGTGATCAATTGTATTTACACGTTGGCAGAAAGCATTTCTTTATGCGTAATTTCTAATAAGAGATGCACTGGAGCGAACAATGAAGTGCCGAATGGAATTATTTTGTCGATAGAATAATACTCTTTTGGGTGTTGTGTTTATTCACGACGCATTCGGTATATAACGATGCTCGTTCAGCCAATGAAAAACTCGAATTCTTCTTTTTTTCAAACACCTTTATACACAAACACCTTTATATGACAGAGGGTCCAGCGCTTATTGAATTTATTTTTTACGAATTCTTTCCTAACACGAAAGAAGCGATAAAATAGAGAAAAGTTTAAAAGAAAATTGCGGTAATTATAATGATTTCTCTTATTTAAAAATATTCGTTATCGAAAAGTAAGTAATAACGATCTTTATTTCTTTGTGTCGTAACAAATATCTATAATTTATGTCGGCAATTTTCTAACAATGATACAATGTAAATTTCTATTTTATATAGACCTATAGAGTTAATCGGGATCTCCTTCTTCCCCACACAGTCGATGTTCCAGCGCATCAAACCAAAGGCATTAATCTTGTTTACGGTATTGATGTTATTCGAAAATCACCATTAAAATTATCAACCCGGTTATTTCGATCACAAATAATTACATAAATTATTATTATTTCTATTAAATAAGTTATTGTTAAAATTTACAATTTGTTTTGTAAATACTTGAAAATATTAAAGAGTTAATAAAATATTTTTAATGATAGAACTTTGTGGAAAAGTGCAAAAAGTTCCGGCGATGGGCAAGACAAAAAGAAAATATCGAACAATATAAATGTCTTGTATCAGAAAACCGCTATTTTCATGGGAAACAATGGCTCTAATGTTTACGGGAAAACATTATTTAGTTTTTTCAGAGTTATTCTTTGTGTTATTTTAGTGAAAATGTCTTTGAAAGTTCTCTTTCGTCCTTAGCCTTAATGCGATTTATCGAATAAGGACCGAAGTTCACACTCCGGAGACCGTCGGAAATAAGATTCGGTAAACTAGTTTTGACCACTTTATAAGCTTATCGGAGTAAAAAAAAAATTGGCAAACACTACTCTTTTTTATTAATACGTTATAACAACTTTTAAATAAAGGAATTTAAAATAAAATCGATATGAAATTAATAGCAATTATAGTATATTTTGTGCTAGAATAATTACGGTAATTACTTTATCTTGTTTCAGGTAAGGAAACAGTCGTGGCCAGTGCAGATGATATTCGATCCCGATCAGTTATTGAACTACTTGATTTTTACCCCCATATCGACCTGTAGTGCCGCGGTGTTTATCCTGGCACTCTTCTACCACTTGCTGTTTGGCAATTGTAATAAATCCCGAGGACACTTTCCCACTCTTCATTACAAAGAATCTATATTTTCTCGATTTCTTCTGGATCGAATACCCGATCTACGTCGATCTTACTATCCCCCACTCTGGGCTTACAACCCTTACGTGCAAGCGTTGATAAGTTATCTGCTGCCTTGTCCGGAAGTTCGCTATCGGCGACAATATCTACAACTGAAAGATCGCGGATTAGTGTCGCTCGATTGGGCCGTTTGGTCTTTCCAGGGAGCGTGGAGAAACTCTTTAAACGACCATCACTTGCTACTAATACTACCCAACTTTACGGAAGATGCCGTGGACGTGGGAGAGATGAGTCTACGGGCTATGGGAAAGGGATTTCACCCGGTGGTTTATAACAGAAGAGGACACGGACGTTCTCCGCTCACCACTCCCAAGTTCCAATCCTACGGAGATCCTTCCGATCTTCGGCAGGCCGTCAAATTTATCAGGAGCCAATATTCTGGTCTCCGTCTTTCCGTAGTCGGCTACGGAACGGGGGCGGATCTTCTCCTGTCTTATTTGGGGGAGTACGGCAGTTCGGCCGACCTAACGGCGGGAGTTGCAATATCACCCATTTTCGATCCCGAAAGCCTTTACAAACGCGGATTGCCTCTTTTCTACGACTTTTCTCGTCTTTTGTCGTTTCGCAGGTTTCTCGGTCTACACTCTCACGCTCTATCCGAGGTGATAGATTCGAATGCCGCCCTTCTCAGTCGCACCGTTCCGGAATTCGAGAAACGAGTCTACTGGAAGATGTGCAATTGCAACAATTGGGACGAATATTGGGAGAAGAACGCGCCGTTGAGAGATGCCGACGAAATGTCGGTTCCTCTTTTGTGCGTGAGTAGTAAAGACGATCCTCTCGTACCTCGGACGGCCATTCCTTACCACGTTTTTCGAGTCTATCCTCAAATGATTCTGGTGGAAACTGCTAACGGAGGCCACTGCTGCTTTTTCCAGTCGGGTGCGCTATTTCCTCCATCCTGGGCTAATTCATTAACTTTAGATTTTATTAAAGTGACCTTGGAATTTTCGTCCGTGGAAGAACAAATTACCAAAGCCGCTCTCCTTCGGAACGTACGGTGAAACCTTCAACGCGCAAGTACTCTACTACGGTTCCTTCTACAACATCAAAGAGATGATCGCCGGTGTTATTTATATTTCTTATTTATCGAATTGCTTAAGGATGTTACAGAAATTAAATAAAATATAATTTATTACTTAATGGCACGCTTTCTTTCTCCGTATAAACTGGAATAAAGAAGCCCGTAAATCATAATACTCTACTTTATTTGATAGAAGATACTCCTTACCGTCGCTTTAGTGTTATAACCACATACATATTTTTTTATTATTTATTAAAATACTTTCTTATGGTATATTAAAATTGATATTAAAATATATTTATCTTATGAGTTAGTGTAGTAAAAGAGGATTTTACGGAAGTCTCGATTGTGTTTTGATGACCCGAAACACTGAATTTATCGGTTGCTCCGTTCCCATAACGTTACGCCGACTAAATATCCTCTCCGTTATAATTACCTGAAGGTATTTTGTAGTTAAAAGTTTTAGACGTAATTATGAGAAAGTTATTAAATTTTATAGATTTATTAGATTCATTTTAAAAACAAATTTAAAAGTAATTCACTTACCGATAAACACGGAATCGAAATATACGTTTTAGAATATTTTCCAAGTAGCAAATATTTAAAAGAAAATATTTACATAAATTTTATAAAAATAAACCGAAAAGTTTAGTAAAAACTTCAAAGGTTTAAATATGTAAATATTGCAGGAGATTCGTACAAAATTCGTTTTGTGATATTTAAAATCGATGCAATCATCCAAATCGTATAGAAATTCTAATGAATTTTTAATCAAGGAATTACGTTAAACGATCCATTAACGTCATCTTTTATTTGATTAATTTATATCAATTGCCGTAATTCATTTCAATTATCTTCCTATATATATATAAAGATTACAATAAGTAAACAATGGAGATGATGCCGAAGAAGAGAATTTTGCGGCGATTCTTTTGTTAACGGTCGTCTTAAAATAAATGAAATACTTCAAATTTTAAATTCTACAATCCCTTTAGAAATTTTTCAATTTATTATTCATTATTATAAATAGAAGAGAATTTTTATTAGTAAATAAATAACAAGATTTGAAATTTTTTAAATATTTAAAAGGCCAAACGAAATTATTCTTTATTTTAAATATTATTCAGAGGTGTTTTTACTTAAAGAATGTATTAATTTTATTTAAACATTTATCAAATAATTAATCACGAATTTTCTGAACTTTGACATTAAATTCATTCGCTTTAATTATAACGATAGTTCGGAGAAGAAGAAATATTTTTAATATTTTAAAAAAATCAATTTATAAATGTGTTATTTTATTATTTCTTTTCTCGCTTTATAGTTGTTTCGTCCTTAAAACTATAATTATAATTAATCACAATATTAAAAAAATTTAGCGGTAAATCCTTTAAAATTTTTAATTAATAACACGATTAATTAACTATATATAATTAAATTTAATGTATTCGAAATTGTTTTGCGATAAAATGCAAAAGAGATTGCTTATTAAAATTAATTACGTAATCAAGAGATTATAATTAAATTAATTTTTCTAGTCCCTTTATATACTTGAAGTATAAATTAACGAGAGTACTTCAAAGTTTTCTTTTAAGAAGTGAATAGATCTTACACATATTTATTTTCTAACAAGAAAAGTTCAAACTCTGTAATAAAATATATAAACAATGAATTTGTTATAGGACATTTCTGACTCGTCCTCACCACAGAATATATTCTTCCTGTTTTTGTGTATATTTGAATTAATTCTAATAAACAAAACAAATATCTTTAATAATAAAATACAGTCGACCCCCCCCTATAACACTGTTGATAATTCCGTTTTATATGAATTCCGTGTTGTACGAGTCACTTAGATTTTACAAATACGTGAGCCGTTCACAACCCGGCACACGTATGTGTAAAATCTAAGTGACTCGTACAACACGGAATTCATATAAAACGGAATTATCAACAGTGTTATAGGGGGTGTCGACTGTGTATTACAAACGTCAAAGAAAATTTTATCAGTAGAAATCGTTGGGATGAAAAATAACGTTATCAAAAGTATTGTTTTGTTTAAAATCACAACCCTTTTAATAAAATTAAGCGCTTTATAACATTTAAGAAATCAATACGTAAGTTTATTTTTATTTGTTATAAAGTATAGGATTATAAGACAAAACAATTTTCAATTTTCTATAATTTTCGAAGAGAATTTGTTGTAAAAGCGTTTAAAATTACAAATTCAATCCCATTAACGAGACGAAAGAAATTTATTTTTAATTTATTTCGTTTCGAAAGAATTTCATCGAAATGAAATTTCTAGTAGGATCAAATTTCTTAATCCTTTAAGTGCTGTTTTTCTTTACTTACAAATAAATATTCTGTTTTAATAATGTATTTAAAGCCATTTATAAATTTTTTCAAGTACTTTTAGCGATTGTTTTAATGTGGGGTGTTCCTATTATACTATATTTTAATTAAGCATTATTGTTATTTTTTTAAATAACGTTATTAGAAATTTATGTATATAATTAAAATTAAAATAAATATTTTCGTGCTAAAGTTCTATAAAAATAAATCTTGTAGAGTTTGTAAAATTGTTAAGAAAAATCTCGAAGGTGTTTGTAAATATCTAGCGGGCTTTAAAGACAAAAATGGGATTTTAACTAAATTAATGGAGTTTGTAATTGTTTCTGATGTAATCCGAACGATTTTAATGCACATTTAAAGAGAAACGAGTAGAAATTTCGCTAAAGTCAACAGAAGATTTTCAATTACAATTCCGAATTATCTTCTAAACAGATGAGTATTAAAGAACAAAGAGAAATGAAATTATACTGTACACGTTGAAAGATCAATTTTGAAATTAAAATAAAAAAATTGCTAATTATTATAAATATAAACTTCTAATCGTCTCCGTTTCTACAAGAAAATAAGATCAAATGCCACTTTTGTAGTAGTGGAAGTTACTTGTGTAAATGTCCCCAGACGAGCTTACGTACAGTACAACACTTTCCGGTGGAAACGAGGGAGGTAACGAGTCTTACTTCCTTCCCGGACATAAGAATTACGTTTAAAACTAAATTAAAATAATATTTAATTCTTTTTTAAGAGTCTTATTTTTAACAAATGTAAATAAAATGGTAATTAATAAATAAAAATAGGTACAGTACTACAATACTTGGAGCACAGAAGTATTGCTAAAAATGAATAATTTATCGAGAGGCGAAAGAAGTAAATAATTTCTTTTTTTTACCTCTAACTTGCTTCTTTTAATTAAAATTAAATACGATGTTTCTAAACTTTTACCTTTAATTTTATCACGGTACATGGTTTCGATTTATGTTGTAAATTAAGATGTTTTGATAACGACATTGTTTACAATAAAAACTCTCCAAAGTAAAAAATAAATTTCGAAAATGTTTGTGTTCCGATGCGAGCGAATAACTGTTTTATTAAAATTTTTATTTAAAAATATCTTTTTTGTTTACCGATAAAATTGTTCCGTAATTTATGGTTAACTCGAAAAATTTAAATAAATTCTATTTTAGCTGGTGGGGGGAAAGTTTTTCTTCACAACGTTGGCTTTCCTGTCGAACACAACGGGAGTTTTCTAGATTTACTTGGGTCGAGTAAATCTAGAAGTAAATATTTATATAGAAATATACCAGGACGTCGCGCGACTTTGTAGTATCGCGATAGAAATGAAGCGGAGACGGTAGGAAAGAAGCGATCCCTGCAAGCCACTGAGACACGATCCTGGCACTGACTGGCCCGGTACGGAGAACCAAGCAATCCAAGAACAAAGCAATCGATGGCGATTGCTTTCTTCTTGTTGTTGTCTAATACTGTTTTTATTTTTGACCCCTAGGCCTAAATTCCGTTAAGTGCTCTCGTTGCATCAGAGAGCGGGGATATTGTCACTGTTATATTTTTGTATATCGAAAACGAAGTCATGGACTCCTACTTTTACTTTCCTGACTCTGTTATAAATAACAGAGGGGAAGTATGGCCATCGGTCTAAAAACTAATCCCCAAGATTTTTACGTTTTTGGACTTAGGGCACATTGAAACGTCGAAGAATGCAAAAACATTCAGAACTTTTTCTATATGTATGGATGTTAGTGTGTTTGTTTACTTGTACAGTACGTGTGTATTTATCCTCTTTGAAGCTTAATTAATTAATTTTGAGAACGAATACAATTCTGTAAACCTCATAGAAGAGCCTTCGTTAACGCTCCGCTTCAATTAATTGGCTGCAATTTGAAAACATTATAGTCATAACTTCTCACTGTCGTCCGTCCGTCAGTCTGTCTTTTCTTAATCTCAAGAACAGAGTTAGATAGATGGAAGACGATACCACCTTGAGGGCGGAAAGCCCCGATTAACTATATACGAGCTTCTTGTGCTAACCGAAAGTCACGTTACTTCTATTCAAACAGCTTTTTCTCCGAAAGATAATAGATGACCGGCTAGGTTAGGTTAGACTTCTATTTATATTTTGTAGTTAGAAATACCACCATTAATCATTGATATTTTCAACTATAACATTTTTAGAATGAAGAAAGAATAGAAGAGTTGCGAATAAGAAATATTGTTTGGTAGAATCGAATAATGTAACAGCTTCAAAGTAATTCAAGCAAAGACAGAAAAGAAAAGGTGTTTTTAATGTGTATAATCTGCCATTTTTAACGAAGACTGTGTGACATTAAAAACATTCTGTTCTATCATTCACAATGACTTTATTCAAATCGTACACACAATTTCGATATAAGCGATAATTTGACAGGGATTAAGGGATTATGCAGCTTATCACGAAAAATTTAAAACAAACAACTGGAAACCGTGTTTTAACTGAATACACGATTTCATCAACAAAATCGGTTGTCGCCGGCTATACTAAGGAATAAGTTTTCGTCTAAAAAGAGATATAATTATACATAATCTAAACTTTAATCGTCTACTGCAATAAGTGACTTTGCGCCATTTACTGCTATAAAATCAGTTTTTTACATTGTTTATAGCTGACAATTACTGTATGTGTTAATAAAGTTGGAATAACGCTGGAGGTTTGCATTTTTTTGTTCTTCTGAAAGTGTTAAAGAATTTTGATAAAATGCATAAAATCCAGAAAGGTCAGGGATTATAATACAATTACAGATACGAATGCCAAGTTAATGGAAAAAAATAAAACAAAATTATACAAGTTAATTAATTAACTAATTAATTTTTAATCAAAAGAAATTTCTACGAAGACACATTAAAGTCGAAAAGGGATTTGAATGAAATTAATGAGTTTCTGGTCATTTATTCCGAAGTGTAAGGTAATGGGATCGGACGTGGAAACGAGAAGAAAAGTAAATTTAAAAATACCAAAAATAAATAGGAAATTCGTTAACGATGAGAAAATAATATAATTAAACCGCCCCTTAATAGGTAAATGCGGAACATCGAACAAAATGTAAATAAGATTGTTTATTTAGTCATACCGCTCGTATATTAGCTATATAATAAACGATAGAAAAATTATTGCCCTTATATTCTGTATTATTAAAAATAGGTTATAAAATTAGACAATAAGAATTTTTTATATTAGTAATTTTTTATAGGAAATATCCGTTTTATCCGAGGTATCTTGGATAATCGGATTTCTACCGTAATTCTAATACTTTAGAGGTAAACAATTAATATAAAAGATATTTACATAATTACAAAAGCGTTTAACGTCAACATTCGGGCGAAATCGAATCTCTTGTAAGACGTGTAAATTGAATCTATTTAGAAAATGAATATATCGTTTCTAGACTTTTGTTGTGTGAACAACACACGTAAGGGATTGTCGAAGAGAATAATAAAGATCTTATTAAAGGGATGGGAACACGTTCACCGGTCGAAGTTATTAGGAGAAAGGTCGAGTTATTTTTTACTTCTATTTTTCAAACACGTTTATTTTAAATAGTATTAGAATAAATACATTTGTTTGTAAGCCCGAAGCATTTGAAATTTAACCAGTCTCTGTTGTTTGACTTTAAATAAAAAATGGAATCCCGTAGAGACGTAACACAAATTGTTCCAGATAATACGGTAAAGAATTTTTTTCCTTTTTTTTTTTTTGGTTAAGGATACGTTCGTGTAATTCACTCGTAACCGTTCTTTTTAGAAAATAATATTTATATATCAACGACGGAACCGAAAGATAAATCAGTTTTTGTTAAAATGATTTTTCTAGAAAGGATAGAACGGCGAAATTTTTCTCAAAAGAAAACGAATGACCGACAACGAAAAATGTCAAAATAAATAACCGGAAGAATTATTTTGAGAAATTATTTTGTAAACAGAAACTCAATCCGCGACAGTTTAGTCTCTTGTAAACACTAAGTGTATATAAAAATAAATAAATTACTTGAATTTATTTGAAGAAAAACAGAGAAAATATAAATACTGATAAACAACAGATTTTTCTCTCTAAAGTTTGCACTGAATGAGTGTCGAAAACACCGGAGAAGACTGTAAATAAAAATCACCATTTATAGTAATTGTATGTTTATTCTTAGAATCTTTTAAAATAATCATTTATTGCATTTTTTTATAGTTTTAAGCATAATTATAACAGATTGATCATTGATACACTCGGAAAGATAATAACTCGACCCCCTATAACACTGTTGATAATTTCGTTTNAGGGGGGGTGTTTTTTTTAATTTTATTTCAAAATTCAACACTTTACAAAATTTTAAACAGGTTTTTTTTATTATTTTTAATATTTTTCCTGGCGCAAGTTGTTGTTGGCAAGTGTACAGAGAGGATAAAACGAATAAAAGAAACCGTAAGCTTCTTTCCACTAAGAATAAAATTCTGACTAGACAACTCATTTTTTTTTTAAATAGTCTTTATTATTTTAGTTTCGTAGATCGCATCTAAATTTATTATTTATTCGATAAATCTATACAACTTTTTTGAAAATTATTCTAATAAGATTAGATTTAATATAATAGAAGTAATAAAATATAAAAAATAAACAATTAATTAAAGTCTAGATGAACTCTTATTGTTGTTAATATCTATTGTTAATTGAAGGATTGTTTTCTTCTTCGATTGTTGCGGTAGGTGGCGTTGTTAGTGCGAACGTGAAGAACGAAGCACTGACATTCGGCACGGCTCGACGTTCCCCACTTTGACGTGTAAGTGTTTTCTAATGTAACGTAATCTTCTATAATCTTATAAATAATACGTCGAAAAGAATATATATATATATATACGTTATATACGCGAATATTTTATCTAATTTGCTTTTAAGTTAAATAATGTATTTTTTCCTGTCTCTAAATATAAGTAGACTACTGTCTACTGTACAGTACATTGCAATGGTATTATTTCTTTACTGATTGATTTTACAGTTTGTTTACAACCAAAAATAACGAATTGAAATTCCGCTTACAGTATAAGTACTCGCGTGCGGGATTTTTAAAAGGGTTGGAGTTTAAAGAAACGTCGTTTACGTAGATTAACACACGGTAGAAAGGTAAGAAGGAATATAGTAATATATACAAAAAAAAAGGAAAGTAATATGCAATATACGTTTTAATTTAATTCGATAATTATTTCCAAATGAGAGGGGTTAAACCCCAAACGAATAGGAATAAATCGGAATAAAAGACAAGAGATTTACGTCGTTGCAAGTGACAAAAGCACATTTTCTATAGATTAAACTATACAAAGCTATATAAAAGAATGACGAGGAAAAGAATCGATCGGTGTGTTACGTGAATCGTGGCAAGATACTATTGATCACAATTCGATTTAAAAAAAAAATTGAAAAATTATTCTTAAAGCAAGTACACAGGATGTTTTTAATCATTTCTTTAAAAGGAACTGCATCCGTCCAAAATCCGATCCTATCTATCGCTTTATTTTGAATCTAGTGCACGACGAATTCGTGTTTTTACCTCGTTTCTGCGTATACAAAATACGTAGAAACGACCCGCACTTTCATTATAATTTAAAAATAGGGATTACATAGAGAAATTCTTCCTGAATTATTTACTATTTTATTCTTTTGTGAAGAAAAGAAAAACTTTTATAATAAATTTAAAAATACGAAAATTTCGAATTATTTATAATTGAATATCTCGTATTTTTCTTGTTTTAGATGTCTCCTTTTTATGTTTCAAACACAACAATCGATATAGAAAATATTTTTAAATATTCGCTAATTCGGACAGTTTATTTCCTATAAAAACTTTATAAAAATACTAATATTTAGCCTATGTTTATATAGATTTAGGACTTATCTATTTATAAATACAAGGTAAGTTTTACTTTTAGTTTATCTGGAAAACGCTTTTATAGCCTAAAATTTGATGAATGTAAAAAAATACAACAAAACTTGGCCCAAAAACAAAAATTCTAATTTTCTAAATGACGCCAGTGCACTAAATTTTGGGGTATTAAAAAAGAAAATTGTTTATTTTATAATACATAATTTCGTATTGTATTCGCGTGGTTTATTTTAAAAACCCAAATAAAATAATAAGTAAATCTGTATATATATATATGTGTGTATTCATTTACATACATCTACTCTGCAAGAACGTAGGAAACGGACTGGAATTTAAAGGAATTTTTGGATCGATAAGTAGTTTGTATGCCTTCTATTGGCATCGGACGTTATTTTATAAGATATTTGATTGACGTCTTCCAGTTAACTAAGAAAAGAAATTCTTTAAAGCTGGTTATCTTCACTGTACTTTCTCATTTTCCAAAAATATTCTTTGATCTTTAATAAGCTTATTATATTGACTTAGGTTATTCATTACCAGATCTTTTCTTCGTGTAATGACATTATATTTATGTACGTATATCAGGACTTCGGCAAGATAATATTCGACAAAGAGTATTAAAATTTTTATAAGCTTAGACGTAATCTTATATAATTATTAGTCCTGTGTTATAAATTATAATCTATTTTAACACGTGACGTTTAATAATATTTATTTTTATGTATATTTAAATTGTTTAATTTTTGAATCTCTAGAAGTATGACAATAGGGGTGTAAATTAATTAAGACGAAAGTTTTGAAATGAAATAATAGACATTGAATAGAGAAAACGAATTGAAGCATCAAAATTTCCAGGTGTACCCGCACACCAATAATTTATCAATCCGGGTACTTAATTAATGATTTATTTATCGCATTTTTATCGAGTTTTAAATTATAAATATGTTTAGTGGGTCGTATTAATAAGAGAACAATAAACAGGTTTAATACAGGAAAATTTCGTATTAAACGTTTTAAAGTGGAATCGTTCCGCTCTTCTCTCTTAGGGTAATGACGGCAATTCAAAGAAAAGGTTACCAACAATTGTTAATAATTGTTATTATATTGTGTAACATCTGTCGTTAAACTTTTCTAGGGAAGAAATTAGGATTCTGCAGCATCCATAATTCTCTGGATATTATTTTTCCAAGTGTGGCAATTGATCCTAGCATCATTCTAGCTTCGGTAATTCGGTAATTCGCATCCGTAACGTTCGTCTTTATGGTTGGAAAGTTTATACGAAATTCCATTATTTTAATTATTTTTAAACCCGATAAATTTGTTCTTTTTATTAATAAACGATTCAATTTAATATTCGTATTTTTATATCTTTAATGTTTATAAACAAAAAATACTGCAATTTTTCATTTTTTAAGACAAGAAAATAATGAATGAAAACGAATTGCATTTATTAATATAGACTAACTGAAAGAGTAACTTTTAGTATTGTGAATATTAATTAATTAAATAAAAAAAGTCTTGTATAAATGTCAGAATAATTGCTTTTATGTGATAATAACGTGTTTAAATTCTGGCAACAGATTATATAAACTACGTGGGAAGTAAGTTGACGTAATTATTGCGCTTATAGAAAAATTATTGTGCTGCAATTTGAAAAAATTGTAGCCATAAATTACGATTGTCGTCCAACTGTGTGTCTGTCTGTTGTCTGTCTTTTCTTAATCTCGAGAAAGGAGTTAGGTAGATGAAAGTCAAGACCAAATATGGAAAAATTAGGACCAAGAAGCCAGATTAATTATATACGAGCTTCCGATACAAACCAGAAGTCAACTTTAGTTTAATTCAAAATTTCCTCTAAACGGAATTAGATAAATAACCAGAACGAATCTATTCCTAATAGGAACAGTATGACGTACAGTACAGGTTCAAGAAACCACTAAAAGAATTGAGAATAATCTGACGAATAATTGCAGCCCAACATTGTGACGATGTCACAATAAATAATCGCTCGTTAGAATTAGTTTGGTTTACTTGGTTACAGCGACACGTAAACGAAATGCCGAGGGGATGCACCCAGAAAAGACTTTTATGGAAAGCTGGACTCTATTTAGGTGTTACTAACGCAAAGAAAACCTTGAAAACTTTCACGTGTCCATGCCCGAACTCGCGACTAAGTAACTACCAGACTTCGGTGGTTTTATCCACTCGGCTACCGGAGGGAGCTTATTAAAATTATAATTGATTTTTAGAAATGCGATATATATTTTGGAGTATGATTACAATATTATCTACGTTAGGTGTATATAAGCGTAACTGTTGAGTTTCGTAGCAATTTGTCGAACGGCCTAGGAATGTATAGCGAACAAACAAACAAACGTCCTCATTTTTATATGTGTGTAAATAAATGAGATTAATTTGTCGATAGTTTTCTAGTTAGAGAAATATTTAGAACACGTTAGAGAATATTTGAAGAGAATAATTTAAAAGCATGGATGTTATTCGTATAAATAGACACTAGACTATTATAAATAAATCACTTTATGAAACTTTTAATTAAAACTATTTTGTTTACTTAAATTCAATTTAAACAGAAACCGAAAACATTTTATACTGTTAAAAAGAAAAATTAAAAATCAATATTAATAAATTTTATATATAGGCCTATATTTTTACTTTAAAAGAAGTAATAATGAATGTAAGTAAATTGTACAGTACATAATTTATAAAAACCTTTTATATATTTTCATTAATGTTACTCTAGAAATAATAAGAAATGATTGTTGTTATTTATTTCCATTAAGTAAAAAAAAAAGGGTCCGCATATTCGAGTAATTTCGAAAATCACCCGAAATTTTCTATTGTAAGAAAGGAGAAAATCGAGGATGGTAGTAGCCTGGAAAAACGAAGCTTATTACACGGTTTATTACCTTTTCGGAAAACGTCGGGCAAAAATAGAATTATAGAATATTACTCGATACGAAATTTAATTTTGTAAATTGTTGGAAGTTAAAACAGATTTAGGACGAAGTAATTTCCGAGGTGTTGTGGCTAACGATGTCGTCGATGGAGACGAAGGAAATGATCGTTATTTAGTGGCGGATAACAAAGAAAGAGTCAAGTAATATCTCCACCGGACCCGATCGCTTTCGTCCTTTGCCAACACCCCTTTCTTCTTTCACTCTTATTCTCTTTTTCTTAACAATGTCACGGTTAAGTCGAAGTTTCTATTATTAATTAAAACAGAATGGAACAAATTTATTAATATTAACGTAATTGTTTCAAAAAGAGATTCGTCTAATAGCCATATAATCTGTTTCTTCCGTAATCGTGCCCATACCTGTCCTTTGTTTTCTGTCTCTGGCTAATCGGAAAAGGAAAAACATTTTGTTTATAAAAGGTTCTTATTGTTAAATCGGTAAATATTACGAATTTAATTCTACGCGATACAGATTTAAAAGTGATAAGTAAAGCCACTCGGTTTTAGTAGTCTAATGGACATATGAAAATAAATTGTCATATGTCATATATCAGAACCGTAGACAATATTATTTATATATATTGTCACATCCTTTACAAGATATTGAATCGATTCTAATACGATGTTATTCTCTAACAGTATCATTCCCGAAATAAATTATGATTTGTGTTGTAGATCCGAACAACCGGCGCATTCATTTCGTACAAAGACTGATTCAAAGAGAAGAAATTCCCATTCCCGTGCGACCTGTTCTCTTTTGTTTGTCCGCAGAAGTCGATTTCTTTCTTGATTATATACAAATAACGCTGAAAACTCAGAATTAAGAATGAATGTGCACACACATTGAAGCTTAATTTCTTTAGAAATAATTAATTAGTGAAAAATTAACTTGTTTACAAAAGGGATGAGTCGAGTAAATAACTAGATAAGCGGTATTTATAGCTTAAAAAAATAAACAAAATCTTTCTAAGATGTAATTAAATTTCATAATTTGTGACAAGTAATAAATTTTTATGATAGTTCTTTTTATATTTTCTCTGTTAGAAATATTATATTTCAATAAACATAAATATTGTTGCCAACAATGGTAATTTATGTTTAACAAATTAGAGTTGTGATCAATTGTATTTACACGTTGGCAGAAAGCATTTCTTTATGCGTAATTTCTAATAAGAGATGCACTGGAGCGAACAATGAAGTGCCGAATGGAATTATTTTGTCGATAGAATAATACTCTTTTGGGTGTTGTGTTTATTCACGACGCATTCGGTATATAACGATGCTCGTTCAGCCAATGAAAAACTCGAATTCTTCTTTTTTTCAAACACCTTTATACACAAACACCTTTATATGACAGAGGGTCCAGCGCTTATTGAATTTATTTTTTACGAATTCTTTCCTAACACGAAAGAAGCGATAAAATAGAGAAAAGTTTAAAAGAAAATTGCGGTAATTATAATGATTTCTCTTATTTAAAAATATTCGTTATCGAAAAGTAAGTAATAACGATCTTTATTTCTTTGTGTCGTAACAAATATCTATAATTTATGTCGGCAATTTTCTAACAATGATACAATGTAAATTTTTATTCCATATAGACCTATAGAGTTAATCGGGATCTCCTTCTTCCACACACAGTCGATGTTCCAGCGCATCAAACCAAAGGCATTAATCTTGTTTACGGTATTGATGTTATTCGAAAATCACCATTAAAATTATCAACCCGGTTATTTCGATCACAAATAATTACATAAATTATTATTATTTCTATTAAATAAGTTATTGTTAAAATTTACAATTTGTTTTGTAAATACTTGAAAATATTAAAGAGTTAATAAAATATTTTTAATGATAGAACTTTGTGGAAAAGTGCAAAAAGTTCCGGCGATGGGCAAGACAAAAAGAAAATATCGAACAATATAAATGTCTTGTATCAGAAAACCGCTATTTTCATGGGAAACAATGGCTCTAATGTTTACGGGAAAACATTATTTAGTTTTTTCAGAGTTATTCTTTGTGTTATTTTAGTGAAAATGTCTTTGAAAGTTCTCTTTCGTCCTTAGCCTTAATGCGATTTATCGAATAAGGACCAAAGTTCACACTCCGGAGACCGTCGGAAATAAGATTCGGTAAACTAGTTTTGACCACTTTATAAGCTTATCGGAGTAAAAAAAAAATTGGCAAACACTACTCTTTTTTATTAATACGTTATAACAACTTTTAAATAAAGGAATTTAAAATAAAATCGATATGAAATTAATAGCAATTATAGTATATTTTGTGCTAGAATAATTACGGTAATTACTTTATCTCGTTTCAGGTAAGGAAACAGTCGTGGCCAGTGCAGATGATATTCGATCCCGATCAGTTATTGAACTACTTGATTTTTACCCCCATATCGACCTGTAGTGCCGCGGTGTTTATCCTGGCACTCTTCTACCACTTGCTGTTTGGCAATTGTAATAAATCCCGAGGACACTTTCCCACTCTTCATTACAAAGAATCTATATTTTCTCGATTTCTTCTGGATCGAATACCCGATCTACGTCGACCTTACTATCCCCCACTCTGGGCTTACAACCCTTACGTGCAAGCGTTGATAAGTTATCTGCTGCCTTGTCCGGAAGTTCGCTATCGGCGACAATATCTACAACTGAAAGATCGCGGATTAGTGTCGCTCGATTGGGCCGTTTGGTCTTTCCAGGGAGCGTGGAGAAACTCTTTAAACGACCATCACTTGCTACTAATACTACCCAACTTTACGGAAGATGCCGTGGACGTGGGAGAGATGAGTCTACGGGCTATGGGAAAGGGATTTCACCCGGTGGTTTATAACAGAAGAGGACACGGACGTTCTCCGCTCACCACTCCCAAGTTCCAATCCTACGGAGATCCTTCCGATCTTCGGCAGGCCGTCAAATTTATCAGGAGCCAATATTCTGGTCTCCGTCTTTCCGTAGTCGGCTACGGAACGGGGGCGGATCTTCTCCTGTCTTATTTGGGGGAGTACGGCAGTTCGGCCGACCTAACGGCGGGAGTTGCAATATCGCCCATTTTCGATCCCGAAAGCCTTTACAAACGCGGATTGCCTCTTTTCTACGACTTTTCTCGTCTTTTGTCGTTTCGCAGGTTTCTCGGTCTACACTCTCACGCTCTATCCGAGGTGATAGATTCGAATGCCGCCCTTCTCAGTCGCACCGTTCCGGAATTCGAGAAACGAGTCTACTGGAAGATGTGCAATTGCAACAATTGGGACGAATATTGGGAGAAGAACGCGCCGTTGAGAGATGCCGACGAAATGTCGGTTCCTCTTTTGTGCGTGAGTAGTAAAGACGATCCTCTCGTACCTCGGACGGCCATTCCTTACCACGTTTTTCGAGTCTATCCTCAAATGATTCTGGTGGAAACTGCTAACGGAGGCCACTGCTGCTTTTTCCAGTCGGGTGCGCTATTTCCTCCATCCTGGGCTAATTCATTAACTTTAGATTTTATTAAAGTGACCTTGGAATTTTCTTCCGTGGAAGAACAAATTACCAAAGCCGCTCTCCTTCGGAACGTACGGTGAAACCTTCAACGCGCAAGTACTCTACTACGGTTCCTTCTACAACATCAAAGAGATGATCGCCGGTGTTATTTATATTTCTTATTTATCGAATTGCTTAAGGATGTTACAGAAATTAAATAAAATATAATTTATTACTTAATGGCACGCTTTCTTTCTCCGTATAAACTGGAATAAAGAAGCCCGTAAATCATAATACTCTACTTTATTTGATAGAAGATACTCCTTACCGTCGCTTTAGTGTTATAACCACATACATATTTTTTTATTATTTATTAAAATACTTTCTTATGGTATATTAAAATTGATATTAAAATATATTTATCTTATGAGTTAGTGTAGTAAAAGAGGATTTTACGGAAGTCTCGATTGTGTTTTGATGACCCGAAACACTGAATTTATCGGTTGCTCCGTTCCCATAACGTTACGCCGACTAAATATCCTCTCCGTTATAATTACCTGAAGGTATTTTGTAGTTAAAAGTTTTAGACGTAATTATGAGAAAGTTATTAAATTTTATAGATTTATTAGATTCATTTTAAAAGCAAATTTAAAAGTAATTCACTTACCGATAAACACGGAATCGAAATATACGTTTTAGAATATTTTCCAAGTAGCAAATATTTAAAAGAAAATATTTACATAAATTTTATAAAAATAAACCGAAAAGTTTAGTAAAAACTTCAAAGGTTTAAATATGTAAATATTGCAGGAGATTCGTACAAAATTCGTTTTGTGACATTTAAAATCGATGCAATCATCCAAATCGTATAGAAATTCTAATGAATTTTTAATCAAGGAATTACGTTAAACGATCCATTAACGTCATCTTTTATTTGATTAATTTATATCAATTGCCGTAATTCATTTCAATTATCTTCCTATATATATATAAAGATTACAATAAGTAAACAATGGAGATGATGCCGAAGAAGAGAATTTTGCGGCGATTCTTTTGTTAACGGTCGTCTTAAAATAAATGAAATACTTCAAATTTTAAATTCTACAATCCCTTTAGAAATTTTTCAATTTATTATTCATTATTATAAATAGAAGAGAATTTTTATTAGTAAATAAATAACAAGATTTGAAATTTTTTAAATATTTAAAAGGCCAAACGAAATTATTCTTTATTTTAAATATTATTCAGAGGTGTTTTTACTTAAAGAATGTATTAATTTTATTTAAACATTTATCAAATAATTAATCACGAATTTTCTGAACTTTGACATTAAATTCATTCGCTTTAATTATAATGATAGTTCGGAGAAGAAGAAATATTTTTAATATTTTAAAAAAATCAATTTATAAATGTGTTATTTTATTATTTCTTTTCTCGCTTTATAGTTGTTTCGTCCTTAAAACTATAATTATAATTAATCACAATATTAAAAAAATTTAGCGGTAAATCCTTTAAAATTTTTAATTAATAACACGATTAATTAACTATATATAATTAAATTTAATGTATTCGAAATTGTTTTGCGATAAAATGCAAAAGAGATTGCTTATTAAAATTAATTACGTAATCAAGAGATTATAATTAAATTAATTTTTCTAGTCCCTTTATATACTTGAAGTATAAATTAACGAGAGTACTTCAAAGTTTTCTTTTAAGAAGTGAATAGATCTTACACATATTTATTTTCTAACAAGAAAAGTTCAAACTCTGTAATAAAATATATAAACAATGAATTTGTTATAGGACATTTCTGACTCGTCCTCACCACAGAATATATTCTTCCTGTTTTTGTGTATATTTGAATTAATTCTAATAAACAAAACAAATATCTTTAATAATAAAATACAGTCGATCCCCCCTATAACACTGTTGATAATTCCGTTTTATATGAATTCCGTGTTGTACGAGTCACTTAGATTTTACAAATACGTGAGCCGTTCACAACCCGGCACACGTATGTGTAAAATCTAAGTGACTCGTACAACATGGAATTCATATAAAACGGAATTATCAACAGTGTTATAGGGG